CTATACCTTGTGGCTAATAGCCACTGATGGACCTCTGCTCCATATGCTTATCTAATTCCCTTTTGAAGCCGTCCATGCTTGTAGCACCCACCACTTCCTGTGGCAGTGAATTCCATGTGTTAATCACTCTTTGGGTGAAGAAGTACTTCCTTTTATCCGTTCTAACCCGACCGCTCAGCAATTTCATGGAGTGCCCACGGGTTCTTGTATTGTGAGAAAGGGAGAAAAGTACCTCTTTCTCTACCTGCTCTTTCCCATGCATAATCTTATAAACCTCGATCATGTCACCCCTCAGTCGTCTTTTCTCCAAGCTAAAGAGCCCTAAGCGCCTTAACCGTTCCTCATAGGGAAAGTGTTCCAACCCTTTTATCATTCGAGTTGCTCTTTTCTGCACTTTTTCCAAAGCTATAATATCCTTTTTAAGGTGTGGTGACCAGAATTGCACACAGTATTCCAGATGAGGTCGCACCATTGATTTATATAGGGGCATTATTATATTGGCTGATCTGTTTTCAATACCCTTCCTAATAATCCCCAGCATAGCATTGGCCTTCTTTATTGCAGTCACACACTGTCTCGACATTTTCAGTGAGTTATCCACTACAACTCCAAGATCTCTCTCTTGCTCAGTCTCTGCCAGTTCAGACCCCATCAATGTGTATTTATATTTAGGATTTTTGGCTCCAATGTGCATCACCTTGCACTTGGCCACATTGAACCCCATTTGCCATGTTGACGCCCACTCGCCCATCTTTGACAGATCCCTTTGGAGTGCCTCACAATCCTCACTGGTTTTCACCACCTTGAACAACTTTGTATCATCCGCAAATTTAGCCACTTCACTGCTTACTCCCAACTCCAAATCATTAATGAACAAGTTAAAAAGCAGTGGACCAAGTACTGATCCCTGTGGTACCCCACTGCTTACCCCCCTCCACTGGGAGAACTGCCCATTTATACTCACTCTCTGTTTTCTATTAATTAGCCAGTTTTTGATCCATAAAAGGACTTGTCCTTTTATCCCATGATTTTTGAGCTTGCTTATAGGAGCCTTTGATGAGGAACTATCAAAAGCTTTCTGGAAGTCAAGGTAAACGACATCTATTGGGTCCCCCCTGTCCACATGTTTGTTCACTCCCTCAAAGAACACTAACAGGTTAGTGAGACAAGATCTTCCCTTACAGAACCCATGCTGAGTCTGCCTCAATAGGTTTTGTTCATCTATGTGCCTACTAATTCTTTCCTTAATAATGGTTTCCACCAATTTACCCGGTATCGATGTCAGACTGACTGGCCTGTAATTTCCCGGATCTCCTCTGGAACCCTTTTTAAAGATGGGAGTGACATTTGCTACCTTCCAGTCCTCAGGAATGGAGGCTGATTTTAAGGAAAGATTGCATATTTTTGTCAGAAGATCCAAAAGTTCACATTTGAGTTCTTTCAGAACTCTCGGATGTATGCCATCTGGGCCTGGTGATTTATCAGTTTTTAAGTTGTCTATCAGTTTTAGGACCTCCTCTCTCGTCACCTCAATCTGACTCAGGTCTTTCAACACCCCTCCCGAACTCAGCGGTTCTGGAGTGGGCAAGCACTTCTCATCTTCCACAGTGAAGACGGAGGCAAGAAATGCATTTAGCTTCTCAGCCATTTCCCTATCATCCTTCAGTACTCCTTTTACCCCTTGGTCATCCAAGGGCCCCACTGCCTCCCTGGCTGGTTTCCTGCTGCTAATGTATTTGAAGAAAGTTTCATGGTTGGTCTTTACGTTCTGTCGTACTCAGAATGAAAGAAGTCCACTTCTAGGACCAAGTCTGGAATTCAGTGAACTACAAAACATACGGGACGGTTAAGAATACTTCAGTGGGCGCCATAACTAAAAGTCAGCGGCTTATTTCCATACCAATGGGTTATTTTTGAAAATCAAAACTCTGCTCCAAAGAGACATCATCATAAGAAACACGTGAGGGTTGCCCCAAACAATGCGGGTTGCAAGGCCAGCCCATTTACTTGGGGAGGAGGTTGAAATCCGTGGGACATGCGTGCCAGTCAGCTGGCACCTTCAGCCACCCAGACCCCTCCCTGCCTCCCGCAGACTGCCCTGCGGTTTCCACACATGACGGCCCTCCAGGGCGGGCTGCCGACGGCTCCAGTTCTGCCAGCTCCTGCTCCTGTCCTCCCCAGAACAGACTCCCCCACCCCTTTGTGATGAGCCGTCCCACCACACACTGGTTCCTCACCTTCTGCCGGTGTCCTTCCAGAAGTGAGTCTACACGCCGACCCCCCCCCCCCCCCCCAGAACACTGAATTCCCAAAGGAGCATCACTCACTCGGGTGTCCTGGCATAGAGATGGTTTGTCTCTGTGGGCTCTGCCTCTCGCTCTGCCTCCAAGGGCCCCGCGAAATCCCCACGTTTTTAATTTCTCTGTCAGCAGCACCTGTCTGCAGGCTGCTCGGGTGCCAGGAGGGGCTATCTGACCTCTGAAGGGCCTGGCCTCGGATGGACTCGGCTTGCCCGGCTTGCCCCTGCCCTGCTGCCTCCTCCCCCCAGCCTCACCGACCGGAGGCTGCCCGCCTGCTTGCCTGTCCCAGAGGGCTCCCCTCCACCAGCAGAGACCCCTGAAGCAACCTTCAGAGAGACACGGCCAGCTTCGGAAGAACCACGCTGAGCCCAGCGCATGGGCTCCCCGGCCCGCGTCTTGCCCCTCGTACCCCAGTCCCACCTGCAGCTTCCTCTCTTTGAGGGCTATCGGAGTGCCCCCCCTCCCTGCGCTCTGGGCCGTCTTCTTCCCAAGAGGCTCCCCTGTGGCCACTCTTCCCCTGCACTGCTCAGCCGTCTCCCCTGCCCGTGGGAATAGCCTGCCCCACGTGAATCCACAGGACCGCCTTCTACCGACTCCGGCCATTGCTCTTTCGTGGTCAGTCTTGTCCGCTCTGGCCGGCAGCTGCTCTCCAGGGTCTCGGGGGGGGGTCCTTCATACCACTTGGCCCCGGACTCTTTTGGGCGGCAGGTGCCGGGCACTGGACCCGGGACCTTCTGCTGCCACCGCAGATGCTCTGCCCCTGAGCCACAGAGCCTCTCCCACAGGGGGTGGGAAGGGGGACTCAGCGATGTATGGGCACACACTTCTGTGCACCTGGTTCACAACCACCGACGGGATCCTCGCTCCTCTCTGCATCGTGGCTGTTGTGTACACGGACCGCCACCAGGGGTCCACTGCTAAAGCAGGGGCTTGGTCCCCAAACACAAAGGGGACCTCGGATCCTAGTCCACCAGGAGTCCACCCTTGGCGGGAGATTCAAACCCTCCAATGGGGACAGAGGTGTGCCGGGTGGGAGTGTA